ATAAGGTTGCGATTAAAATATATTTTAGGTCCTAAACTAGTAGACCTAAACCTAAAATTTTAGACTAACCTAAACAATATAGTTATCGAGAAACTCTCATTGTAGCAAACTGGAATTTAAATTAAACCTTTAAAATATAATATATTTAAGGTTCAGATTCACGGGAAAATATGAATTTTAAGCTATTTTTCTTGGAATTTGCAACATATGTTTTTCAACCCCCTGAACACCTGTAATTAACTGTTTAAGGGAAAACATTCTTTGTGAATGACTACGAATCTTGATGATGTTCTTTTATTAGACAAAAATTTAGTGTGTACTGGAAATGTACTGGAAATATAAATAATAAAAAGGTCTTTTCATACCTAGTCAATAAATTTCAACAGCTGGCTTTATACATAATAAGAGATTTGAATGAGCTCAATATAAAGCCCTTAAGGAAAATAATGAAAATTATAACGCGTTCTTTGTTCCAACAAGTTTTTTTTTCTGAAGTTTATGACTGGTGGCTCAGAAACATAGAATGTGCAGATCAAAACTTCATGCTTCCTAAATTTAATTCAATTCAAAATGTCTTTATTAGGTATATAAACAATTGTATACAAATTAAAATAATAACGATGGCGACGTTCACATTTGTGCTCTTCCACACAACCATCAAGGTATGTACTACTAGATCATAAATGTACTTCAATAACCTAGTATTGATGCTTCAAAATCGGGCTAGGGTACCTATTGTAATTATTTAAACGCTAGAGTTTGTTGAGACCAAGAATATCATATACTGATAGAATGGGAGGTGTAAAACCTTAATTTTTTTTTGCACCTTAATTTTAACACTACTAAAACTTGGAAATGGTTTTTCAGCAAGAAACCTAGGCCCAACTGCAACCTAAACAAACCATTGATTGCCAGATTTCTCTGGGCACAATCAAACAGTATAATATAACATAAAAAATGGTGGGTCTTTTGTCAGTTAAACATGATTTTCCAACACAGTATACTCAGGATATTTTAAAATTTTTAAGTCAAGAATATCAAAATAATTCAAAATATAACACCCTCAACGCTCACCGATCAGCCTTTAACATCTTAGCGGATGCGGGGAAAACTGAATCAGTGGAAAGGCTTATGAAAGGTATATTTAAATGTAGATCATCATTAAATATGAAGAAATTTGGGATCCGCACCCGGTATTGGTAATGCTTGGAAAACTGTATCCATTGCATGACCTTGACTTAAAAATTTTATCAATAAAATTAATCTTATTACTGGCCTTATGTACAGCACAAAGGGTTCAAACTCTATCAAGTTTGCGGTTGGAAAATACACATCATAGAGAAGGACTGCACATTAAAATTAACGATATTTTAAAAACATCTACCCCAAAATCTGCACAGCCGAAGCTTTAACTTTTCTTTTTTGCTGAAAACCCCATCTTTGTACTGCCACCACGATTTTGCATTACATAGAACGTACTAAAAACCTTAGGGGTAACGAACAATACTTATTTATAACAACAAATAAACCATACAGACGGGTCTCCACCCAAACCTTAAGTAAGTGGATAAAAGAGGGTTTAAAAAGAGGTGGTGTAAATGTAGACAAATTTAAAGGTCACAGTACACGACATGCCGCGACTTCTGCGGCCGCGGCGGTGCGAATGGGGGGAACCATTGAAACCATTCGCAACGCAGCAGGCTGGTCCAAAAAATCACTAACGTTTTGTAAATTTTATAACAAACCAATAATAAGTGGTGCCAAATAGCAGTCGTTTATTTTACGTAAACGACATTATTAATAACAAAAAATAAGAAGTAGATTGTTAAGTCGTGGATACTTAATGTTAATTGGTCGTCGTTAGATAGGAAATGAAAATATATAAACTTTATGAGTTTTGATATAGTAGTTTATTAGAGTGTGATTTATATAAACAATAAGCTACTATACGTATTATGTTCATATAATTATTATAATTTAATAAGAAAAATAGCATAACGGGAAATACTATAAATGTTACATACTATCAAGTTCTTATTATAATTAACATATGATTAACATATATATTTTTGTTTTGCATTTTCTTAAAATGCAGCAAAATTTACATGCAGATCGCCTTAAATTTCTTTAAACATCTACATGGTGATCTAGGAGGACGTGTCCAACTGAAGTATAATTAAGGATTAAACGACTTACCTGTAAGGAAGTTCAATCCAAATTATACGAAGTTGGACACGTCCTCCTAGATCACCATGTAGTAGTAATACTTCTGTCACTGTTTTGAGCGCATGTTTAAAGAAAATGATTCACCGCCTCTTATATCACACCACTTTTATGTCTCATTATACTTCTGAAGCATTATGATCGCCTTTGGGTCGGGTATGTATCTATCATATAGGTAGTTTACCTTTGATAGTGTGATTCACTTTGTGAGACACATAAGGGTGGGTTGATCTAGGAGGACGTGTCCAACTTCGTATAATTTGGATTGAACTTCCTTACAGGTAAGTCGTTTAATCCTTAAATAACCTGTCAAGTAATATTTTCTTTATATCGAGCATTAACTATTCCACGAAAACCCAGAGATTACTTTGAATACGTACCTGGTAATAAATAAAAACAACAATTCGAAGAACTTCTGAGAAATACAAAAGAGATGACATGACAGCTTAACCGATCCAACTCAATTCCATATTCGGATCAATGACGGAGGCATTGACGTAAATGGGCACTCGTCACTGATTTAATTTTGTTTACAAGCTCATCAAATGGTCAGTCGTCATATACAGGGTGGTTTGGTATTTTGTAGCAGGACCAATAAATACGTTTCATTCAATGGGCAGGCAGTACCTATAATGGTTATCCATGAATTCATGATATCATAAGTAGGGACCAAAGATTATTTTCTTTTATCTATGGTAGGGACCAAGGATGGGGATCTTTGACAGTCCTGTTTGACGTTTCATTTGAGACATTTGAATTTGATTTTAAATTTTTGTGGATTTGGTTGTTTTTACTGAGCTTTATTTTATATTATTTATTATTTAATCTACAACTGGTAGTTGTTTAGGGGTAGAAAATATACAGGGTTGTTCACCACGTACGACACGGAGTATTGTAGCTAAGCGATTAGATTTTTACAAATTGTAAGTTTTGAGTTCGTTGAAGGACTATTAGAGCTACAATTTAAAAATAATTTTACAAATGCAGATATCGTATTGCAATAATAAAAATTATACTATACTTTTTTTTACAATGACTTTTTTTCATTTAAATGAAACATCTTTTATATTTTACATGAACCAGATGCACAATTTAATTATTTATCAAATTGTATTATACAATTTTTTACCTATCTCTTTAAGTTTTCGTAGAAAATGTATTTTCTTATAATTTAGGCCACATTTATCACTAGAGCCATGGAATATTGACATTTTAGATTTTTTTGAAGCAACAGAATGTACAAAATGTACAGGTGGTAAAAATAATAATATTGCAAGCCCATTTGTTTACAAAAAGAAAAATTATTGAAATATTTGTAAAAGAGTATACCAATTCAATATACTACCATTATTTCCGCCCAAAAACTAGTTAATACATACTTAATTGTTTTAATTAATAAATTATTCAAAATACATGTGGATTTCACTCAGAAATCAATATAATAATAAGTTAGGAAAACGAACGTCACTGTTGTTCTAAATAACCATTCGTCAAAAAATTAAATAAAATTTATAAGGTGTGTTACTTTTTACCAAACTGTCTAATACACATACAAAATTCAGTTTTTTAATATTTCGAGCAATTATTATTAATTAACATAAACAGTTAATTAATGTAGTTTGAATACTGAGATCTTATTAATTAGTCCTCTTTAACAAAAAAAAATATCATTTTTTTTATTGAAATAAGCGAACTATACAATATTAGTATCTGGTACTGGAAAATTTGTTACATCTTAAAAAATAATCTAAAATGTCAATATTCCATGGGATAAATGAGGTCTAAATTATACTCGAAATTATAAGAAAATGCATTTTCTCCGAAAACTTGAAGAGATAGGAAAAAATGGTATAATACAATTTAATAGACAATTAAATTGTGAATCTGATTCTCCTAAAATATACATACATGGTGTTCCATGTAAATTATATAAGTTATTGCCGTTTAAAGCTAGTAATTATTTAATGTACTTTTTTAGACACTCTGTATAAGGTAGTATTTTGTTTATTATTGCAACATACTATCTGATCAATAAATAAACTTCAGTAAATAATTAGTGTTAAAAACTTTGATACCCTTGTAGAAATGAAGCCTTAAATTTTTACTGCAAATTCATAAAATTGCAAATATTTCAAATAAAGTAAGTTTTAAGAAGTATGATAAATCTTAATCAAATTTACCTTTATGTCAATCGTAAAATCTAAAAATAGGATAATATATTTCCGTTTAAAAAAATAAAACCATAATATTTTTACTTATTTGGGACACTCTGTACACTCTGCTCTAATAGTGCTTCAACGAACCCAAAACTTACAATTTGTAAAAATCTAATCGTTTAGCTACAATAATCTGTGTCGTATGTGGTGAACTGATCATTTAGGAAATTCACTTAGAATTAAATAATAATTACAGAGGATCAGTCAAATAAGTGCAAATATTTTTATAGGGGTGTTATATTTCGACTCCAAGAACACGTCTATGAGGTTTTTGTTATATATTATGCTCCATCTTTAGCGTAACCACACTGTTATATATTCTCGAAATATAATTACTTACAAGATATTACTTTTAAATCTTTTTAATGTATTTGAAACGTTTCAAATTGTTTAAAAAATATAATCTGTGATATAAGTAACATAATTTCCAATTTTATTGTATCGCGATAAATCTTGACAGTAACAGTTATTCTTGTTATTCATTATTACCATAATTATTATTATGAACTAAATGTCAATAATTACAAATAAGAAAATGTCATGTCCTTGTCAATTCATATCCTCTAAACCTACAATTTTTTTTCCGGAATCTAACGTTGAATTACTACTGAACAACAAAACACAATTGTAATTAAAAGAAGGTTATAGAAAAAGCGGTAAGAATCTCATAATATAATTTATAAATTAATTATTACTACTAAGAAAAACAATTACTAATATGAGAAAAAGTATATAACGGTTGAATAAAAATTATACTTTGAAACTGGTAAGAGAGAAAAGAATAATCAATACAACTTCATAAATATAGAAATAGCACTTAACATATTGTGAAACAATATCGTCATCAAAACTGACAGACATTTTTTTGTACTTTCTAGTTTTTCCCATCTTTTTGGGGATTATTATTACTAATAAAAAGTTCAACAGAAACAATTATCTCTGATGACCTTTTGATATGTGTTGAGAGTAAAATGAGGTAATAAAATACAAGTAATTCTATAAGATACAGATATAGGTATAATATAGGTACCTAGACAATATAAAAATTGGTAATATGTATACAGTGGCGGTTGGTACTAAAGGGTACAGGGGTACGTACCCAACCGCCCCAGATATAGGGAAATAAATAAGAATTTAATTGAGTACATATTGTTTTTTGTACGTTACCTTTTACTAAATATTTAAACGCCACTGGTATCTATGTGTTTCTATTTGTTGTGTATAGTCGAATAGAGCATTTGACGCTTGTTTCTATACACTTTCTATACAATACATATATTTGCCATATGCAATTTAGTCCTCTTTACATACAGGGTGAGTCTTAAATAAGTACAAATATTTTCAGTAGATCTCGATAAAAGAAATATATTTTCTCTCTACCGTGATGTTTCAAATAAGTCCAAAATAACTGAGATATTTTGCTTTGAAGATTTAAAATAAATTTTTCGTTTTCGTCGATTTTTCGTTTAAATTTAAAGAACCACTGGATCTTTTCTGGTTTTTCTTTTTTTCAAATTTCATCTACTACCTATGTGTTCATATTACGAAGATATTATGATTTTTAACCAAAAATTAAAAAAAAAACAATTTTTAAAGAAATTCCAAATTTTCAATTTTTTTATTCCGAAAAAAAAATCATTCATGGACGTGTCCCTAGGATTTAAACGAAGGATGTCACTTGGGTAAAAAATATACATTAAGGTGAGCCAAAAAGACTAACCTATGGAATTTATGGGTTAAAATGGACCTAATAACCGAGAAGAAAATATCCCCGGACGGCAGGATTTTTAACTCAATTTTAAAAGGATATTTTTTCTCGGTTATTAGGTCCATTTTAACCCATAAATTCCATAAATTAGTTTTTTTGGCTTACCCTAATATCAGGGCCGGATCTACCTAAGGGCTGTTTGGGCTGCAGCTCAGGGCCCCGAGATTACAAGGGGCCCCCAGACCCCGCTAAAAACAATAGGCGATAATTTGAATTTAAAAAAAAATCTAAATTAAAAAAAACAACCATAATTTTTAATTACTGCACTCATTACAAAGTATTCACGTATCAAATGCAACGATTATCTCGTTCACTATTTATTTATCAGAAAACTATCAAGTTCATTGTTTATTTTCAGAAAAAAATCAAAGTCTTTATTTACAATAATGTCTGGTTGAAAGTTTAAAAGTGGAGCTGAGAAACGCAAATTACAGCTAGATTGAGAAAAAGAAAGAAAAAAATGTGCAAAAATTGGGACTTTTTTCAAATCAAAACATAAAAACGAGGACGAACTCGCTGAAAATTCATCAACAAGCGCCAAGGAAGGGATCTTATCTGAAGAGAATCTATTTGAAGGGAGTAGCAAATCGCAACACCAAGAAAAAAGACAAATGATGAAAATGTGCAAAGTTTTGACTACCAGCAACCCTCTGATCAAACGGAAAACGATATTGGTGTGCAGCGACAGGATGGTAACACAACAGAGACAGAGACACGGATTTAGAGAATACCTATTAATTTTGAGTTTGAGAAATATGTTGACGTGGGCTTGTGGCCAGAATTGCTAAATAATGATTTAATGACATCCTCTCATATAAAATGACTGACTTTCAAAATAAAAATCCAAAAAATATATATTCAGCTTCTATAAAGAAATACAAGGAACAAAACAGAGCATTTTCAAATAGCCATTTCACTAAAAATGAAAAAATGGTCAATCACTGGAAAGATCTTGGCTAACATATTCAACCAGTATTTGTGCTGTTTTGGTTTGCCTTGCAAACTTTTTTTTTTAAACCTCTTCTCAACACACGACTGGAATTTCTGATTGGAAACACATAGGAACTTGTTCAGAAACCCAAGAAAATTCTAATGAACATAAGAAATCAATGTTAGTGTGGTTGACACGAAAAGAAAATAAATCTGTTTTAGGCAAGCAGCTTCAGGAGTAATTAAGAAAAGAAATATATTATTATCAGAATGTCCAAAAACGGGTAATTGTAGTGGTAAAATTTTTGAGTATAAGAGGCTTAGCATTTAGAGGTTCCGAGGAAGTATTTGGTTCTCCACATAATGGTAATTTTATGAGGAGTCTGGAGCTATTGGCAGAGTTCGATCCATTCATTCGTGAACACATTGAATATCGGGAGCTGCCACCAAAACCGATAATATCGTACTTATCAAAAACACACAAAGACACAAAATATTATTCAACTGTGATGGATTCTACACCAGATCTGTCTCACAATGATCTGTCTCACAACTTGCTATTGTATTACGATACTGTTTTCGGGGAAAAGTATATGAAAGATGTGTAACCTTCATTAAAATTAGTAGTCATACTGCCTTACATTTATTTAATATTCTACAAGACTTTATAGAAACAAATGGATTACTACTGATGGGGCAATCTTATGACAACGCTGCCAGTATGGCGGGTCACTACAATGTTTTTTGACATGGCTATAATTGAGTACTTAGGTAGGCCCCTAAGTAGTTTCAGCCCAGGGCCCCACAAATTCACGATCCGCCTCTGCCTAATATACATGTACTGCCAAAATATTGTTTTACTGCCAAGCGACGGCCAATGACTGCGAAGAATACTACCTATGTAATGTAATTATTCCTATGTAATTATTATACGAGACTGCCGTAAGACTGCCAAAAAATGTACATGTCATTCCAATAGTGAGATACACCTCGGGTTTAAATATACTACCCCTAAAAATGCACTTATTTATTAAGACTGACCCTGTATAATTAGCATTCTTGTTAAATTTATGCTATTTTTTTTGTATATGAAAATTTGTAAACTAATAAATATTACTTACTGTACCTAATACTATAAAAGTAAAAAGCATAATATCTCCTTTAGTGGAAGTACATAGTTATAAATAAATTACAAAAAAAATTAATAGTAATTTAATACTATTTATAGCTAAAAAATACATCTATGAACATACTAGAGTAGTGACTAAATTAATTCTAGAATGTCAGAAATGATACAAATAATTCATTAAGTGATTAATTACATATACCATTTTTTTTCTCTATACCAGTGATTTTCACAAATACATTTATTGGCGTACTATTAGTCACATGTTATTTAAATTATATGTTTATAATACTAAATAACGTCAATTTTTATGCAAATACGTGCAACACGATTGATCGTTATTTTTTCTACAAAATTAAACTAAATTTTTTATTACTTTTAGAATTTCCTTAAAATAGTTTTCTTTTCAACCGTTGGAAAAATACTACACAAGCATGAAAACGATAAATTGTTATTTCAGACGATAGTTTGAAATATTTTTCCCTAACAACTTAGATTTCTGATGGTCTTTATTTAAAAAAAGTTGAATTAAGAGTCCATTTCACTAGTCCGAGAAAGTAGCAAAATAATAATTTTAATGGTTTATGTTAAACTGGCTAGGCATTTTTACACAAATGAAGAAGAAAATTAAAGATAAAGGAATATACTATATCCGTATTGTAGCACATTTTTAGACAACTTCTTTATTTTTAAGATTTTGATGGTCAAACATAAACAAAATATTCCTTATGTTTGACCAAATTTTCTCGAAAATAAAGACATAATTTAAAATTCCGTTACAATACTGAAATATATTGAAGTTTTGTGATTACAGTGATATATAATTTATATGGTTTTATAACAAATTGCTTGCTACTTTATGCCAAATGCTGAAGCTCTGCAAACCTTAATCAAGGCTTAATCAAAGCACGTGTATTTGGAATTTTGGGTATGGCGTGTGGCTTAACACGACAGGATCGGGTTAAGCCTTGATTTTCATGCATCCGTTGTCCGACGATACGATGCACAGTGCTTCGTCCCATGGACAAAAATCGAAAAAAAAGTTAAAATTTACTAATATCTGAATATGTAATTTTATACTTATAGCAATGTTTAATCATCCTGTATATTATTTTTCATAATCAGTGTTTTTTGTTAGCAAATATTTTCACTAAAAATAAGTTTTGCGATCATATATCAGTGAAATTATCTTATATCAGTGAAAAGAATAACATTCATAGTAGTTCTGTATATGGAGTTAAACGGTACGTACTTAATTGAAAGCCACTATGGATATTGTTAAACAAGGTATGTAGGTACTTTAAATTTATTTCTAAACAAGTTCGTGATTGTTTAGTTTTTATTTATTTTTTAAGATGAATCTTAAATGTGTATAAAAATTTTACGTTTTCAAACTTCAAAAAGGCATTTAAAAAAAACATACCAAAACATATCGTAATTATTGAATATATTTATTGTCATATTCATACACTTTTAATTTTTGTATAGTTCACCTGCGTCTGCTTGCGACGAACTTTATTTTATAATACTTTTCAAATGGAGTAAAATTGATAAGCAATGCCGATCTGGTTAATACTTAGCTTGATCATAAGGACAAGAACTCAAAATTATTTGTATTTCAAAAAATGTGTTCTTTATTAGATATTGATGAACCTTCCAGTCAAATAAGACACCACTTGTGCCTGAAATAGCCCACTATGTTGGAGCGAAACGTCGCATAAAAAAAGTTTCTATCTTTCAATTTATTATAAGAACTCATACCCAAGAAAAGGAAAAAATAATATATGGATATGGTCTCTTAAAGAGGTAACTATTAACATCCGAACCCCTCATACCAACAAAGGGAACACGCGAAACAACGCGAAAAAGTAACATATTAGAAAATGATGTACAGAAACATCTTAATAATATGTGAGGATAATTCATCTACATGTGATTTGGATACTATAAATTTGGAAGATTCTGTCAGCAGTGATTCTTCTGAATCAGAGTAGTTACGATCTATGCATTTTTTTTGTCCTAAAGTAAATTTATAGTATCTTAAGTTTTTTTTTAATTAAATATAGCATTAATGTTTCTTTTTCATTAAAGAAAAACATTTTTATCTTATATTAGGCTTATATTGTATACTCTGTTTTTTTTTCTCAGGTAAGATTTCGACAGACGATGACAGAAGAAAAGCAGATGACGTCCCATACCAATCTATTTATTTTACTCAAAAAAGTTTCTAATAATTTTTAAGTTATGGATGCGTTTAAATATAAATCCGTCATGCGTCGTGTCTTGTTGTTTTTAACCAGTTTTATTGGTTTATTTAAAAAATGACAGATCGTATTTCAATTTTATTGGTTTGACGGAACGATGAACGACAAACGGACGCCGATGCGTATGAACTCGCCTTTAGATTTTTGTCATTTTTGACGCTTGTCAAAGTCTTGCCAAATTATAGGTTATAATTTTGTGTCAACTTTTGTTAAATACCCTGCGTTTTGGAAGATGATGCATTTTGATTCGTATTATTACGTGTGTTTTGTGTCTTTTGAAGTCAAGTGGAGGAAAAATCGACTGAAAATTAACTGTAGACCCAGAGCACAGTTTATGGTTAATACTCGCTGCTCAGGCAGAAAGTCTTATACAATAATGAAGTTGGAATCGATAAAGTTTGTATACCATTTCGTCGTAGATAAGTGCATCTCGTATATGGTAGAAGGATCAAACTAAACACATACTAAAAACTGGAGTAGCTGTAAAATATCGACATCACACGATAGGTAAATAATGGATTTTAATACTGCAGAAAAATAATGTCAAAAGGTACTGATTTAAAAAAATTAAGATTAAAGTTAATTAATCAACCTTTAAGGTATAAAATTTGGTAGGTGTTATTATTAATAAAATAGTTTGTTTTATTTACCTATGTTGTTTTATTTATTCCTGTGGAATATTACAAAATGCGGGTAGTTTCATAAAGCTTGAAAGTAAATAATAGTTCTTTTTTATATTTTTTGGTATGTAGTGTCTTGTTCTTGTTTGTTTTGTATTAACACATACCGTTTTATTAAATAAAATAACTCGATTACATTTTTTCAGTTTTATACAGTTTTTTTCACAATATTTTGAAGTAATCACTTGTCATCTTGTCAATCAAATTTTAAATATTTCCTGCTATGCGTTCCAGTTGTGCCAACTTATTTCTTTGTAAAATAAAATAAACTACTTTGAAATTAAAATGACAGACACATCTATCACTGTCAAGGATCTTCTCGTTGGACAGACTATAGGAATCATGTTCTAATGTTATTTCAATTCTTTTTTATCACAGGGATTTTTTTAATACTTACACCGTTTTCATACTATAAATTATTATTTCCTTAGATGGAACACAGCTCCAACGTTTTTATTATTTATAAGATTTTTTTTCATAAACGTGGGACTAAGAACATCACCTTTTAGTACAATGAGAGTACTCATCATATGTGTCAAATAAACCTAGTTTGAATAAATTGCCTACAATAAAAGAGAAGTTTTTGCATTTTTGTCCTCTAGAGCCATATGATCGAAGCACTGTGCGATGATACGATATTAATTTTATTGGTTGAATTCAAAGACTTCGATTGGTTAACCGTTTGTAACCAATTGAGTCTTTAAAGTCAACCAATAAAATTAATATCGGACCATCGTATCAACGGATAACGGACGCATGAAAATCAAGCTTTAGGCAGATTTCTGAAATATTATACGGGTTGTTAATTTGTTTATTACTCGCGGTAAGAGCTTTGTGGTTGAAAAATGGCAACCTCGGCCCGCTCGTCGAAAGCTCAGTACTCATTTGGAATGTAGGCAGTGTTGCCATTCTGTTCCCCAATAAGTAACCGTCCAGTTAACAATCTGTATATATTTCCTTCGGCCACACACCCGCTTTACCCGGTTCCTGAGAGCGACACGAAAGTATATATACAGCGTAATAGATTCTTAATTATGAAATCTTTCTGTCTTTGCTTATCAGATCTGCTGTGAATTTTGCAGAATTTTCTACTATGAACTATTCTTGTGAATTTTGCGTCTATTCTAGAGATTTGTTGGCTTGTTGATCACCCACTGTTTTGTAGAAATTCTCGCGATTGCTTACCTACGGGAAGGATTCTGCACCTACGAATTGCATTGCCGAACCTTGTTGTGACTATTTAGTCTGTCTTTTCTATACCTTTTTTTCAGTCAAAAAATAAATAAGCCTATTTTTAAATTTAAAGAATTACCAGAAAAGCGCAGATTTTGTTACATAAATGTTGGCTTAAACATGGTAAAATTAGACACTTTTCAGTTATCTCTCGTGTATTTTCTCCAAGGGCACCTTGACACTGTATGCTTTGAATTATTTCCCGATAGACTAAATTAGAAATTCTAAATTTACCTATTTGTAACCATCAATTCTCAATACAAAACGTATTTATATAATATACAGGGTTGTTCACCACATACGACACGGAGTACTGTAGCTAAACGATTAGATTTTTACAGATTGTAAGTTTTGGGTTCGTTGAAGGACTATTAGAGCTACAATTTAAAAATATTTTTACAAAATACAGAGTGTCCCAAATAAGTAAAAAATATTATAGTTTTATTTTTTTAAATGGAACACCCTGTATATTGTTCTATTTTTGGATTCTACGTTGAAATAAAGGTAAATTTGATTAAGGTTTATCATACTTAAACCTTACCGTTTTTGAAATATTTTCAATTTTGTGAAATTGCAGTAAAAAATTTAACGCTCCATTTCTACAAGGGTATCAAAGTTTTTCCATACTAAATATTTAGTGAATATTATTTATTGATCAGTTATTGGTGTTTCAATAATAAAAATTATACTACCTTATACAGAGTGTCCACAAATTTATATTAAATAATTACTAGATTTTAACGGCAATATCTTCTTTAATTTAAATGGAACGCCCTGTATATTTTACGAGAATCAGATGCATAATTTAAGTGTCTATCAAATTGTATTATACCATTTTTACCTACCTCTTCAAGTTTTCGTAGAAAAATCATTTTATTATAATTTAGACGTCATTTATCACTATACCCATGGAATATTGACATTTTATTTTCAAATGTAACAAATTTTCAAAGAGTACAGATACTAATATTGTCGATATAGTTCGCTTATTTCATTAAAAAATAAAAAAAAAACTGTTTAAATATTTTTTATTAAAGAGTACCAGTTAATTAATATTATCCTAGTATTCAAAATACATTAATTGACTGTTTACGTTGATTAATAATAATTGCTCCAAATACTAAAAAACTGAATTTTGTCTGTGTATTAGACAGTGTGGTAAAAAGTAACACCTTATAAATTTTATTTAATTTTTTGACGAATGCTTATTTATAACAACAGAGACGTTCATTTTCATAACTTAATATTATATTGATTTCTGTGTCAAATCCACATTTATTTAGAATAGTTAAAGCAATTAAATATGTAATTAACTAATTTTGGGCGGAAATAATGGTGGTATACTCTTTTACAAAGATTTAAATAGTTTTCTTTTTGTAAACAACTGGGCTTGCAATATTATCACTTTTACCACCTGTACATTTTGTACATATTATATGTTGCTTTAAAAAATCTAAAGTGTCAATATTCCATGGGTATAATGATCAACGAGGTCTAAATTATAAGAAAATGCATTTTCTACGAAAACTTGAAGAGGTTGGTAAAATGGTATCATACAGTTTGATAGACAATTAGATTGTACATCTGATTCACGTAAAATATACAGGGTGTCTCATTTAAATTAAACAAGCTATTGCCGTTTAAAGCTAGTAATTATTTAATAAAAAATTTTGGACACTCTGTATAAGGTAGTATAATTTTTATTATTGAAACACAATATCTGATCAACAAATAATCTGCAGTAAATATTTAGTATTAAAAACTTTGGCACCCTTGGAGAAATGAAGCCTTAAATTTTTTACTGCACTTTCACAAAATTGAAAATATTTCAAAAAACGGGAAGGTTTAAGTGTGATAAACAAACCTTAATCAAATATACCTTCATTTCAATCGTAGAATTTAAAAATGCAATAATATACAGTGTGTTCCATTTAATAAAATACAACTATAATATTTTTTACTTATTTGGGACACTCTGTATCTTGTAAAATTATTTTTAAATCGTAGTTCTAATAGTCCTTCAACGAACCCAAAACTTAAAATTTGTAAAAATCTAATCGTTTAGCTACAATACTCCGTCTCATATGTGGTGAACAACCCTGTACAGATTAACAATTCTATTATTTTGATACAAATTTACAATCATTTCTTCATACAATCATATCAAATCCGCTTCAAAGAGCGTTTGTCCAGTAAAATCACATACACATTCATTCATTACGTAAAGTGGTATTAATATAGAATTTATTTAGAACCACCCTCTATACAAAAATACATAATTGACTTTATAGGTCTCTTCTTATTGAACCTCCACGTGAAAAGCACAGATCAGCACTCGGCGCATGACCGGTACAACAGGCAATGCAGGAACATCGCCGTTTATATTTTTAGCAGGATTGACCGGTTCCCGCATATAACGAACGCAACCGTTCTGCTATCAAAACATAAAACAATTCAATTACGAGCTGGTAGTGGTCAGGAACGCATAACAAATAATACAGCGTAAAAGAAGATTAGTGCTTAATAATAATAGTCTACAAAATGGAGCTTCAAAAAGTTCTAGCAGTATTTGCGGGCTTAGTTTTAGTATCCTGCACAGCTTTACCAGGTAAGTCATTATTATAGTTTCTTTTATATAGATATATAATTACAACATATATATAAGTACTAAATATTATGTGTGCAAATAACATTAGTAAAATCGCTTCAAACCCCCATCAAAAATCCTATAGATTTTTCAAGTTCTAAAAATAAAAATTCTTTAAAATTTGTATAGCATAATTTAACATACATAATTATGCTGTTTGTGCACATTTGGAAATAAATTATGCTTACTAAATAATTGAATATAATATGTAATTTAATTATTCACCAGTTTAAACATTTCTTTTTCAATAATATTCATGAACCTGATGATTTCCAAATCTTCTGGATCTTTTATATTCTTTTTTATAGATGCATATAAACCTATTTTAAGCTCAATGTAATGAATATATCTCTGACCGTAACATATATTACAGATTTTATGTTTTTTTTTATGTTTATCATTATGTGTGTATGTATTTTTATCGCATATGTGGGGAAAACAATAAGTACCTACCTATAAATCTGAAATCTTATTAGTTTATACATCTAAAATAATAAAGTAATCTAGAAATAAAAAAAATAATAAAGAGTTAAAAATAGAAAAAGTTAGAAAATACAAAACTGCAAATGCAAAACGTAAACAATAAATTCAATAAACAACAATAAATAAAAAAAACAGAAAATACCAATAGCTGTCATTAATTCGGTAATCGGCGTTATTACCGAATCTTACTGAATGTTAAATACCTAGAAAATTTAAAAGACTTATACAGGGTGAGTGTTAAATAAGTGCAAATATTTTTAGGGGTAGTATATTTCGACTCTAGAAACACGACTATGATTTTTTTTTCGCGAGAAGAAACAAATCAAAATTTAGAATTTTTTGAGAAAAAATTTGGATTTTTTTTTAGTTTTTAGTTAAAATATATAATTTGTTGATAATATGGCAACATAGGTAATAGATTAAATTTACAAGAAATAAAATGCAGAAAAGATCCAGTGGTTTTCAAAATTTTAGCAAAAAATCAATATTTTTTTTAAATTTTCAAAAATATCTCGGTTATTTTAGATTTATTTGAAAAAAGGTATGGGGAAAATATGTCTTTTATCGAGATCTACCAGCTCTGAACCTGAAAATATTTGTACTTATTTAAGACTCACCCTGTACTTATATTATACAGGGTGAGTCTTGAATAAAAATGCAAATATTTTCAGGGGTGGAATATTTTGATTTGACCACAGAAATACGACTATGTAGTTTTTATTTGAGAAATGGTAAAAAGAAAATATGTTTCTTCTATCCAGATCTACAAGCCCTAAAAATATTTGCACTTAGTTAAGACTTACCCTGTAAGAGTAGAGGGTAAATAATGTGAAAGGTACCAAATAGGACAATATTAAACAAAAATTATTTCAAAAATTGCATCAAGATACTCTTGAACCAGTGGCGTATCCACAGATTGAGTCTGGGAGGGGTAAATACAGATTTAAATTAAATTTTCGCTCAAAAGTGTTGTGACTATGGAAAAATAAACCTAGATTGCTCTGGATTTCTATTTTGATTGATATTATTAATTTATTCTGTGATAATTTTATTTTATAGCAGATTTTCTTATTTATAAATTTCTTCCTGGGAGGGGTAATCGGGTAATTACTCCCATTACACCTCCCGTATATGCGCCCCTGCCTTGAACTGACAGCAGTCCGACCACCGTCGTACATCATAGTGTTTTAATTATTTATTTTATATGTCAATATAGAATGTCTATTCTGTAATATAATGTCTTTAAGTATTTTATATTTAATTTTCAGAATACTTTATTTATTACGGTTTTAAATGTATCCTTCTGTTATTAAATAATACAACGTATTAAAATTTCCGATAATTATTTTATTAAGATGCTAATGATTTTAAAAGCAAGATTAATAAAATATTCAATCTTATTTAGATACAATTAGATAATGAATATTAAAGGTTATTTAAAGGACAAAAACAGGTGGTTACTTAACAAAAAGTTAAATGCAGCTATTATATATTTGGGTTGTAGTATTTAATTTACATACAATATAATTTAAATGTTTTCTGATCGCTTAGAAAGGGCCAATAACATAAAGATACAGAATGATACAAAATACAAATATCTAGTGGCAATTAAGAAGTGGATAGAAAATCTTATTTCAATAAAACATATTAATATACCGGGTGCGTCTCTAAAGTGGCTCTATAACTTTTTTATTTTTACAGATAAATAAAAACAAGATTTGGCATGTTAGTATATGACATAAATTAGAATTGATTGACGTATTCATTTCTTTTCGGCCACTTCCTGTTTCACCGGAAATGACTGCAACTTTTGATTTTTAAATAGCACAATGGCGCCCTCGGTATTTTTTTACTTTATTTGATAGAAAATGACAATCTGAATAGAATGACATATCATATGTCCGCTTTTGACAAAAACTTAAAACAAAATTGTATTTTAAATTTCAATCTAGAGTGCCGTGGCCGATGTGTTAAAAACACTAATTTTTTTAATCAAGGAGCCTTGGAAAAATAGGTTTGATCGTCTAATGTTTTTTGTGTCTTGTCCTAGCCGGTTAAAAAGATACCCAAATCGTATTTTTAATCATATCTCAATTTTTTCAAATGGAACAAGGATGGCTTATTAGCATATTTGGAAAAAGTATTTTTTACGAATAATTTGGTACCACACACCAGGTATTTCGGGTCAAATTGTCGTTATGAATCACATGTTGCAATTTCAAATAAACCATATTCGAATATGTCGAACGTTGAAATATAATATGTCATTCTATTCATAGTATCATTTTTTATCGAAAAATGTAATAAAATAACCGAGGGTGTCATTTAAAAATCAAAAATTTAATAATTTCAGGTGAAACAATTGAATACATTAATCAATCCTAATTTATGTCATATACTAATATGCGAAATCTGTTTTATTATCTGAATAAATAAAAAAGTTATAGGGGTGAGCCACTTTTGAGACGCACCCGGTATAAAAAGATATATAATATATTTAAAACATATATAGCCGGCATTATAATCGTATTGTTTTGACATTACTAACGTTTAATTTTTAACTTCACTCTTTTCATATTCTTTTCTATTTCTCTCACGCGTCTTCTGTGATTTCTCTTGCTTTTACACTTTCAAAGTTATTGACATTTTTTGACAACATTTTAGTTTTCATTGCAACACAAATTCATATCATCCCATATTTTTATTAGAAATGTATATTTTTCCAATCAATTATTATATTTACACGCGTTGGGAGTAAAAATTCAAAGCCCTGACACACGAGCTAGCGTCACGACATACGTCACGAAAAGTGGTAACGATCGAAAAAGTGGTAAGCCAGTCAGCCAATGAGGAAGTTGAGATGGATCTTTGGAGTGTCGTAACTCGGGTCCTATGTGAGCTAGGAGGGAAACTCAGAATGTATTCTTCATTATATTTTGACGGCATTTTGTGCTCTATGAAACCCCATTATCAAAGACGAAAAAATCGCCCGATTTAAATGAAATTTGGTACGTCGATAGATTGGCCCAAGGCCAACTTGACCGTGCGCGACACGTGTCACTGTATAACAGTTAGTTATGACCTATGAAACGTCAAAAATTGCGACTGTGAACACGGTCCCGCCCTGCAAAGTTGGATACGACGTTTCGTTTACATTTGATTTGATATTGAAGAAAAATGTGGGCCAATTTCGGCATAATTGGGGACGAGCTACAGGATGACGCCCACAACGTTTCGAACCGGCGCGGCGATGCCTCTAAATAGATGAAATCATCAGGATGTCTCTCTTAATTATGGGTCGATTGGAACCAATCGGCACGTGGATAGAGGTACCCTAATAGAGTCCTCAGACGGACAGACGGTCATTGTAATACAATTTTGCGAAGGCGAATCAAAATTTATTAATTTTTAATTTATTACATTTTCAACATTTCAAATTACACTTTTTTAAACATGTTCTTCAAATCGTTAAATCGACGACTTCAAATATGCGCAAATAATGCACACACAATTTTTTAATAGAGACAATTGAGACAAAATCTGATATTAAATAAAGATTATTTTACAAAGTTAAAGAGATATTAGGTGCCCGGTGGCGTAGTATTTGGTACAGGCTCTCGACAACCAATCTCAAGGTAATGGGGTCGATTCCCACACCCGGCATTAAATCAGCCGACTATTTTTATTAAAATAAAAATACACACTCCGGAAAAGTCTAGGGATATTACAATTTTATCCCAGCCATCGTCAGTAATTTTATTATTTGCATTTCTGATATAATAAAATTAAAATAAACAAATAGTTTACAGGACGTATTGGAAATAAAAATGCGAAATTTACTGAAATTTTCAAATTTATCATTGAACTCAAAAAAATTTACACATTTTTTTTATTCTAAACTGCGAATTAAACAAAAAGATAAAACCATTTTTACTTAATAAAGGGTATGACCTCCTCTACTGTTCATTACAGCCCTACATCGTCTCTCCATGCTCCTGATCAGGTTGTCGATCTCTTCTTGAGGTACAGCCTGCCACGCTGCATTCACGGCCCGAACCAGATCCCTACGAGTTTCACGAGGCATACCCATTCTCAAAATTCTTCTTTGGATCGCGTCCCATACGTGCTCGATGGGGTTGAGGTCAGGAGATTGTGCCGGCCAGGGTAAGATGTTTAATTGATGAGCATTGATAAACTCACTTACCACTCTGGCTGTATGAGGCCGTGCATTGTCATGCATGAGAATGAAGTTTCTCCCAAAATTATTGGCATATGGTAACACGACAGGCTCAAGAATTAAATCACGATATGTGATTCCTGTTAGAAACCTTTCAAGAAAAACGAGATCGGTTTGTCGGCCTAACTGGACTCCTCCCCAGACCATAACTGTTCCACCTTGATAAGGATGCACTTCCTGAACATGATCCAACCGAATAAGATTTCCCGGTTCTCTCCATACCCTAAGCCTTCTCGAATCC